ATATTTAATTTATGTAATTATATATTAACTGTTATTGAAATAAAAAAAATTATTCCGATAGAAAAGTGCTGTATTTAAAAATTACGAAAACGAATCAAAGAACAAATCTATCACTCAAGGTGATTTTCTATATTTTCAATTTTCATTATGTCATATATGTATATATATAAATTTATTTGTCCTTTCTTCGCTGACAAGCACGTGTCTCTCTATTTATGCTCTACGTCAGCCACCAAATAATAATCTTTAATAATAATTGCCTAAGGTAAACAAAAGAAATATTTTAAGTATACAAGGATATATTAACACAAAAATAGTACGATACCACAAAAATGTATAAAAACCAATACAAATTGAAATGTAAAAATATTAAATAGAATTAAATTCATATTCTAATATTCCATAAGTAAAAATGATAATAGCACATTATATTTAAATAGTAAGTAACAAAAATCAAATAATAAATCAACGTGATTTTCTATTTTCATTAAGTCCATTATATATATATACAGGTATAACAATTCATTTGTCATTTAAGCACAGCCAAGCATCACACATCCCTCTTCTTAGTCCTCTACGTTAGCGTCCAAATAGTAATCTTTGGTTYGCCTAAGGTAATCAAAAGAAATATTTTAATTTCAAATTCACTAATGTAATTATGATTCAAACTTTTGAYAACAAACTATACGAACTTTACATCCACGTGCTCKCCCATAAAAGTGCTGTCAGTGTTGTCACATTTGTGATTTTCATATTCATCCCAACTGGAACATTTATGTGCAACATAATCTTCCTTAGCCCATATAGAGTGTGCGTAATAATGATAGGCTTTGACATGGCTACAGTAACCCGTAACTAAAAATGAATATAATAACAAAATTTATATCTATAAATATTTATTTATTGCATGCTGTAAAAGTTTGAAACTATTACCTAAAATAGGTTGTAAAAGTTGTATTAAAATATTAGGTAATCGACAAACGTATTTTCGATAGAGAAATAATCAAAATTATGTGATTTAATATTAATTTAATTTAATTTTCAATCGCGATATTAATATGAATTGTCGTAAACAGTCGAAACAAAATTTTATAATTAAAATTATCTTTTCAAATATACTTTATATCTGAGATGGTTAGAACAGCAAATTAAGATAAATATATTAGTTTTACCTATAGCTATAACTATAATCAAGTGCCTTTTTTTCGTYTGTATCATCTTTTAGAGCAATACAAATGATTCAATATTCAACTTTCCTGATGGTTTGTGGTAGAATTAATATACGTATATTATAACTTAAGATACATAATTACATTTTTAAATACTATTAGGTACTTATAATTTATAATTATTTAAAATTTAATTTTGGACATATTTAAATTAATTTTAAACTATTTATACCATGAACCTATTATCGAATACATTACCTTTGTCTGAATATTCGCAATTTGGTTGTAACTTCCCTCCGTTTGGGAAGAAATCGATATGTCCAATTGATTTCTCAAAGCCATTGTTGGCAGTATTTGTGTGCATAACGTCTACAAAATGCGCATCAGTAATATCTAGTCTGTCCTCTGGGTCTTTGTCTTCGTACTCTGGCTTCGCCGGATCTAATCCTGAAATACATTTTTTCAAATACAAATATTTATGAATTTTAAAACGGAATATGATTATTTTTAAAATGCATTGCTAAAAATATTTATACAATTGTATAAGTATTTACCCGTAATTCGGGGAATCTGATCAGCCAATTCTTTCCCTACGAATCCAACAATATGAGCTCCCATACTGTGTCCGATCAAATGCAAGGTATCAACCCCTTCTGTCATGTTATACGTTATCCTTTTCAGGACTTTAGCTATATCGTGAGCGATGTGTTTGGCTCGAATTGTTGCAACTGAGTAGGATAAATCAGTCGAATACTGTTTCCAATCCACACAAATCACATTGTATTCACCCACCTTAAAATACGCTGTGAAATATTTCATTGAATCAAATATTTTAAAAAAATGTCATCAATACACTATACGCAAAAAAGCTAATTCATTATAGATGAATACAATCAAAATAGTAACGGAGATACCAAAATTAAGACCTAATTATGAGTTGCACTTGAAAAATGTGTAGTGTGTAGTTTACTTAATCAATGGTTTAACTTTTAATGAATACAAATGTAATTGTTGTAAAAAATGAATATATATTTTGTAACAATTATTTGAATGTAAAAACTGAGTTTACCTGAGTAGTTACTGGTTGTTATGAAATTTCATCTAATGATCTGCATGTAACCATATCGATATTAGTATCAATTGTATTTAGCACCAATAAGTGCCTATACATTTTTAATAATCAGATATAGTTTCTACCTAACAATCAATAGACAATTAATAAGAAAAATTACCAACTTACAATTGATGTTGCACATACAAAGACTATCCTTTTCTTTAGTAGAACCAAGCCAACCGTGCACTAATACTTTAGTTGGATTTGATGGATTGTACGTTGTAGACTCAATCATGTGTGGTTCACTTCTATTTAAAAGTTGACCATCTGTGTTATCTCTGAAAGAGAAAAAAAAATACAATACGAATTTAATTTAATAATTGAAATAAACTATTAACTATTAGAATTATATAGAATTTAACCTCGTATAAAGCCAGTAAAACACATGTTTTGATGTTTGGTACTTGCCATAATTTTCATCATGAAAGTTAATATCGTCAATGTATTTTTGACCATCATTAAATCCGTTAAAAGTGGCGACTGTGTCTGAAAACAAATGTCAAGAATGCTATTTATTCCACGGTAATTGTAGGGAATGCGCAGCACCATCGAAAATTCATACTCAAGATTATATTGAATATACACAATCGGAATTATAATTTGTATAACTAAAAACGTAACCTAATCTAACCTATGAATTAGGTTTAAACCAAAATCCTTTCTGCTTTTATAAATTTTTCCTCAAACGTGTGGCGGAAGTAATTATTAGTATAAATTTCTATTAATAAACAATAGAGAATAAATCACATAGGTAAGTCGTGTTACATATTACATACAAATATATGATGAGTACAAACATATAAATAAGATATTATGCATTGCATTGTTTTAATTCTCAGTATTTTTTGTACTTATTAATGTACTAATTTGATATGGTGTACGCATCTATCTGTTATACGTATACAAAATCATATATAATATGTTACGGTAAAAGTACGAATACCAGTAAATCYTAGATTTCACCGACTACTGTTGTTAAAACATATAGGAAACACAAAATCATTTTGTCAAATCTCGGATGATTTTTGTAGTTCAGACTTTTATAAATGAGATTTGGTAAATCTCAGGATAAACAATTAGTGCTTGTATAGTCCCAAATTTTTTACCAATTATGCTATTAATTATTAATTATTAATAATATTGAAGTATATTAGGTAGTACATTAATGACTAGTAATTAGTATATTAGATACGGTTACCCGGTATTTTGCCCGAATCGAATTTCCCGAATGAATTTTTTCCCGAATGGAATTTTTCCCGAACACCTTTTTCCCGAATCAAAACTCCCGAATGAATTTTTTCTCGAATGGTATTTTACCCGAAAATCCAAAAACCCGAAACCTTTTTTTCCCGAATATAAATTATAATACATATAAAAATAAAAATTAATTAATAAAATTAATAATGATTTAATAAATCAAGTACCTAGTGTAATAGTAAAATATTTTTAAATAATTAAATTATAAAACGTATAAAATATAAACAATATAAACATTAATTAATTTAAATACTATTGTAATAATACATATAAATTGACCAATAATAATAAAACCTTTACAAAAAAAAAAAAACAAAATATAAAATAATTTCACAAAATAATATTATGCGCGATTGCCTTCAGAAATTCTAATTCATGATATACAATCTCTGATAAACGCTGTTCTTGATTTGGACCATGATCATGATCGTCTAACACTGGTTCTCGGACGAAATAATTTTTATTTTCGGAAATATTGAAAGTAGTGATTATTCTGGCTTTGCACTCTTTCCTGCGTACTTTTTGACATTCCCAGTATGTTTTGCCGTTGATTGGTAATTTAGACCGCACGTAAATAAAACYACCATAAACCAATTTTGTTTCACCCAAAATTTTAATTTCAGTCATGATGGTGAAGTAAAATAAAATTATAATAAGCTTATACAATAAAACGCACTGAAAATGAAAATGAAAGTATAGCGACAAGTGATAGTACGTGAATAACGAAACTTTACGATTACAAAAATTACAACGATTTACTTGCTATATTTCGATACAAACGATAATAAT